TTTCGCCCCTGGTGGTGACAGTGTCTGCATGCAGTGTCTAGTCCTGGGGCTGACATCTAGAGAGCAGGGGAGAAATAGGCCAGGAAATGCTGAGGATGGTAGTACAGAAAGATGGAAGAAACTAGGCCCATCATAGGCCTCTGAATTAACCAACCTGAAGCCACGTCACCTCGAAACTCCTCCTGAGGTGAGATTTCACCCAAATATATATAGACTAGTTCTGAATAGGGAGTTTCAGATTTCATGACAATTGGATTCACTTACAAAGTAAACCCTTGAATTAAAGCAAACCAAGGACAAGGGTACCTGTACCACACTGAGATTTTAATGTTAAGTGAAGTCTTATTTCAAGAAATTAGAATTTATCAGATTTGGGAACTTGACTACTTCCAATTATACATAAATCAAATACTAAGCCGTGCTTAAAAACTGCAATGAACTTAGTCAACCAGATGATGTCAGCACCAAAGCAAATGAACTTCAGTGAAGCCAAAGTGCCTTCACAGTTTGGTGCTGGGGACAAAGGTATTCCCTGTGAAAACTGCCAAAGCATTTTAAATATCCTCAACTGCTGACCTTGGCATTGGACATTATCTAAAACAGCTGATCCACACTAACATGGTTCAGCAAAGAGCTTTTATTAAAGGACCCATAATTCTAACCTGAGTCTTTAAATTTCATGTATGCAATTCTCATTGAATTCAATATAGTTTGGGGTTTCACAGCGGCTAGAAAGGGTATCAGGTGGCAAGGATACTTGCTAATAAGATTAAAAATTGAAATGTAAATTGGCTAACATTTTGCATGGATTATCACATGCTCAAGAATCAGAATTTCAGCTTGGCCTCCATTCAACCAAGTGTCTCTCTATTTCTGCCCAAATTGATCTTGATAATGGCTGGTGAACTCAAAGACACCACAACGCATACAGCTTTTGCCAAACAGCAGGCCAGCATCTCAAGAAAGATAACAGGGCACGTGTTTGGCAAGAAGGTCTCAGAGCACAGCTGTGTCCAACGGCTGCTCTTTTAAATATTCCTTTCACAGTGACCAAGGCTCCCTTCTACTGCTGGCTTCTTAGATGGCAGAGGAGCAAAAAGGAGTCACAGTAAGTGGGGGGTGCAGGGGACATCCCAGTCTGAAACACAAATGTTTGAAGAACTCTTTAAACTAGAATCTCAAAAGAGTGTTCCAAAAAAGACACATGAAAAGATGCACAACACCACAGTCACTATAGAAATTCGAATCAGGGCCGGGCACGGTGGCTCAAGCCTGTAATCCCAGCACTTTGGGAGGCCGAGGCGGGTGGATCACGAGGTCAAGAGATCAAGACCATCCTGGTCAACACGGTGAAACCCCATCTCTACTAAAAATACAAAAAATTAGCTGGGCATGGTGGCAGGTGCCTGTAATCCCAGCTACTCAGGAGGCTGAGGCAGAATTGCCTGAACCCAGGAGGCGGAGGTTGCGGTGAGCTGAGATCGCGCCATTGCACTCCAGCCTGGGTAACAAGAGCGAAACTCCGTCTCAAAAAAAAAAAAAAAAAAAAAGAAAGAAATTCGAATCAAGACTACAATGAGACACCACTTCACACAAGGATGGCTATAATAAAAAGATGAACAGTGAGTGTTGGTGAGGATGTGGATAAACTGGAACTCTCACCCACTGCTGGTTGAAATGTAAAACAGTCCAGGGACAGTTCCTCAAAATGTTAAAACAGTTACCATATGACCCAGCAACTCCACTCCCATGTAGTTATCTACCAAAAAAAAAAAACAACAACAACTTGTACATAAATGTTCATAGCAGTATTATTCATAGCAGCCAGAGTAGAAGACCCAAATGTCCATCAGCTGATCACTAGATAAACAAAATGCTGTATATATTCAACGGGCAATTGTTACAATGAACAATGCAACAATAAAATGGAATATAAGTGCTGCTATGTATAATGAATGATATGGATGAAACCTGAGGACTTTATGCTAAGTGAAAAAAGCCAATCTCAAAGGGACATACACTGTATGATTATATAAAACGTCCAGAATACACAAATAAAAAAAATAGATGAGGAGTTGCCTAGGATTGAAGAGGGGGTTATGGATAAGGGGTACAAGGTTTCTTTTTGGGGGTGATGAAAGGGTTCTAAAATTAGGTTGTGGTAGTGGTTAATCAACTGTGAATATACTAAAAACTACTGAAGTACACCTTAAATAAGTGAATTCTATCTAAATAAAGAAAAAGGGAGGGAGGGAGGGAGGAAGGAAGGAAACATGGAAGGAAGGAAAGAAGGAAGGAGAGTTGTAAAAGGCAGAAGTATTTTATGTCTAAGAAGGCTGTGTCTGAGAAACTAGTCCTGGCTGAAAAACCAGCTGATGGGGCAATTCACACGCCACTGACTAGTCATGATGAGGACCAAGCAGCTCACCAATCCAGATGTAGGGCAGCATTCCTTGGCATGACCACCACCCCCATCAGCAGACTTCCTACTCAAGTGGCTCCCAGCCATCCGCCAGGTTTCTGCTCTGAGCTGCCTGAGACCTATCAGCCCTGTCCCAACTCAATCGCCACTTCCACTGGTTCACGATTCTCCTTCTAACAGGAGCTTGGAAGTGACACCCAAATGACAGAAGGGAGCAGCAGTTGCTGCAGTAGTCAAAGCAGACTCCCCTTGGACACCTGGCTACCCTGCCAACTGTCCCCTACTACATCAGAAACCATCAAACTCAACAGTGGGGACAAATCCAACACCATCCCATACATGACCCACCCTGGGTTCTCACCTCCAGAATTCTATGATTGGGTGCAAAACAAACTGAAATGACACATTTTAAGAAAAAGAGAAGAGGATCACCGCATTAGGCATATAGTTATGAAGACAAAAATATATCAGCCACAATAGTTTTTTCCATTATAATAAAGATTGTGGTTCATGATAGGACTTTACAGACCAAAGATAAAATTAACATGATGATGCTGTTTCAAGTAAGCAAACTATTTATTCCCACACAGCAGTATGAGAATGAAAGAGTGATGCGTGCTCTGCAGATACCAGGAAGAAAAGGCACCCTCATTGTCTTTCGGATGGGAGACCTACTCTTCAGAAGTGAAACTAAGATTTAGAGTTTTAACCCGTCAAAAGGCAAGCTTGAGGAACAGATACACTGTACATTTCACCCTCACACCTGGGGGGCAGTATTTCAGCTGGCAAAAAGTGTCAAGCCTGAGAGGAGTGAGGTGGGAAAGGCCCAGACAGGTGAAGCTGTCCTTCCAAGGCTGATCAGGGACTGGCAGCAGGTATTCAGGAATCCAGGTCAAATGCAGGGAGGCTGCTGGACATGAACTAAAACTGGGTGAGTTAGATTTCCCAGTACATGGGTATCAGAGACTGGGAGGAAGCCCCATGCCTGTGTAGAGAAAAGTTAAGAACAGGAAAGAGGGTCCCTGGAACGAGGATCGAGCAAGACGAAGATATGGGGTGGGGAAGTCTGGACAGACGCCAGAAAGATTGGAAGAAGGCTGCAAGTGGTCCCAGAGCAGGGACAGGAGGCTTGGGGGTGGAGCAGCTGGAAGGGGCTGGGTGCCTGGACCATGAAGAGAAGGAAGCAGCGAGTGGAACAGGGGACCTAAGAGGCAAGATCCCAGCAGACTGTGAGCAGCACTCAGGGAGTGAGTGTCTGGTCTTGAGGTGGGGCCAGGGCCTGACCAATCAGTGGTGCGTGTGGTGCTTCCCCGTCTGAGGGGTCTGCTGAAGCCCTCCTAAGGAGATCTCAGGAAGAGGAAGCCCCCAGGGTCTGCGGATTCCTGGGACTGAGGAAGAGGCGGGAGGGCAGGACTCAGCTCTGAGAGAATCTGACACGGGCCCAGACACGGGGAGGGTCCCGAGTCTGGTGAAACCAATGGAGAGTTTTTCAGGGTCTGAAAAGGGCTGGTGGCAGTCCCTGATGTAGGGACGACAGGTCGTGAGGAGGGAGGACCCGGGCCTTCCCCGAGTCACGGGGGGCTTCCGGATCCCAGACCGGCCGGTCACCGGCTTCAAGTCTGGGAGAGTGTTCGGGGTCCGCCAGAAGCGGGTCTTGACGGGCTCCGGGTCCGAGGGGGCAGGTCAGGGCTGGGGCTCGGAGAGTGTGAGGCACAGGCTGGGCAGGTCCCGGGTGGGAAGCGCCGGGTGCAGGAGGCCCCGGCGACGAGGGCCTGCTCCGCGGCTGCGGGCTCGAGGAGCCGAGACGGGCACGGCCCGTGAGCGCCGCGAGGAGGCCCTCGGGCCCCGGCCCGGCCCGGCGCTCACCTGCAGCACCACCTCTACGTCGTACGAGTTCCCCTTGCTCTTCTGGTGGCCGCGGAACTTGGAGCCGCTGTAGAGCAGGCTGGTGGCCACGCCGGGCTGCTGGGTGTTGATGGGCGGCGGCGGGATGAGTGAGGCCGCGGAGGCAGCCGAGGCACCGGCCGGCGGGGGACACTCGGTGCGGACCGGCATCGCGGGGTCCCCCGGAGCCAGGGCTGGGGGGAGTGGGAGAGGAACCGCCGCCGCCGCGCGGGAGCCAAGGAGGGTGGCGGGGAGGGAGAGGCCGGGGCGCGCACGCGCAGGGTGGGGGCGGGAGGGGCGACCACCCGTCCGCTGTCTGCGGACTAAGCGCTCCGGCCGCCACCGGGACCCAGAGACCTGCGAGCAGGGCCTCCCAGTCCTGAGCTGGGTCCCCCTCCCGACTTGCTCTCGCGCACACATACACACACACAGACACACACACACACAGACACACACAGACACACACACACACACACACGCACGCACACACACACCCCGCCCCTTCCGATTGGCTCGGGCGAGCCGGGGGGGGCGGGAACAGGTTCACGCGGCGCTTCCACCCATTGGCGGGAGGAGAAAGCACGTGGTGGGGTGCGCGAGCGGCCCGCTGGGACTTGTAGTCTCCTCGCTGGGGCGCGGCGTGGAGAGGGCGGAGCGAGGTGCGTTTGTGATGCTAATTGACTGGGGGTGTGCGCAGGAGGCGTGCGGCGGCGACGGCACGCCGTTGGTGTCATGTGAAAGATGGCGGCATCCAGGGGAGGCTGAGGCTTTGAGGGGGCAGTGAGAGGTTTCCGTACAGCCCGAACGTGCGGCTTTGGAGGTCTCTTCGCTCAGTTTCCTGCTCCAGGTTTCGCGCCGCGCATCCCCCCAGACCCTCGGGCGCGATGTGGAGGAGCTGCCACCGGCTGCGGGACGGGGGACGCCGCCTCCTGAATCGGCCTGTGGGTGGCCCCAGCGCTTCTAAGAGTCCAGGGCCAACCATCCCGTCTCCAGCCCGGGCTTACGCCCCGCCGACAGGTGAGACCATGAAGGGCCAAGCTGGGGTAAGGTGGGATTCGGACTTCTGCTGTGCAGGGCGGTGTCACTGAGGCAGGGTTCAGGCTCATGAGGTTATGCAGGCCGGTCGGGTCCTTTAGCAGATGAGAAAGTGAAGCCCAAACAAGGGCAGACGACCCGAGGGGGAACAGCGCGTCATGCACGAGACAGTAATTGATATTTGGCCTGTGCAGCTTTTCTCAAAGCTTATGGCTGCCCTCCCTTTAATGAGGAAAGCAAGTGTCACCTTTGTTTTCCAAAGGGGAGGTTTGGGCCCTGAATCCGAACTTCGCCTAGGTTACAGAGCAGACTCAGGTTTCTGGAGTCTGACTGCTTTCCATGTCTCCACTGCCCAACACAAGACCTGCACAGAAGGGCCAAGTTCAATCAGTCCTCCATCCCGGGCACTTTAGCAGCGGGTTTCCTGACTTTCCCTCCTGTGCAGCTCCTGCCATCTGCAGCCTTCTCTCTCTCCTAAATAGAAATTGACACCTCCACCTCCAACTCTGATGGAGCTTAGAAGTTGTGGCTCTTTTGTTGCTGATAGTGAGTGGTGTTAGGGTGAGAGTGCCAGTGACTCATTTCAGTGAATGAAGAGCAGTAACACCCTCCCCCCACCATTCAATTACTTTTATTGTGCTGGGGGCAGGAGGCGCAGTAGTCTTTAAGACCCACCTGTATGTATTGGTAGAGAAGCTCAATTAAAGAAGAAAAAGGCCCACCTGAATGATGTTGACTGTTCAGTGGAAAAGGTTATAATATCCTGATTAAACTGTGGTTTATAATATCCTGATAAGGGACATACAAAGAAGCTGTGAGGACACAGAGAATCACCTACTCCCATCTTAGGGATGTTCAGGGTCTGGAACGAGTCTTGGGTGAAAGGGCATTTAAACTGAACGGTGATAGATGAGTAGGAGTTCAGCAAGAAGGTGGAAGACTGTTGGGTATCTAGAACATGTCCAGGGGTGACAGCAAGGTGTGAGGGACTTTTCCCTAACACTGCCAGCTTTAGAAAATCCAGAGTTTCACAGGCAGGTTGGCATTGTGGCAGGAGTGGAAATCTAGGATCTGATGCTGGCTGAACCTCTGAGGTCAGTGTGATCTTGGGCATGTAACTACTTCCTCATTTTTCTCCCTGAGGTGAAGTACTATGTTGCCTTTAAGGGTGTTTCTGGCTGTCAGATTCTATAACTTTATAGAAATGGGGGAGGGGGCTGGATGCAGCAGGGTGCTGAAGTTTCTCCTGTAGGACTTGGGGGAAGGGCCAGTAAAGAAGAAGAGAGGACATCCCAGGGAGTCATAGCAAAGGGGACACATTCGGGAGTTCATCAAATTGGAAAAAGCAAAGTGTTAATTAATTAATTACTTTATGTATGTATTTATTTATTTTGAGATGAAATTTTGCTCTTGTCTCCCCTGCTGGAGTGCAGTGGTGCAATCTCGTCTCACTGCAACCTCTGCCTCCCCTGTTCAAGCAATTCTCCTGCCTCAGCCTCTGGAGTAGCTGGGATTACAGACATCCGTCACCACGCCCAGCTAATTTTGTATTTTTAGTAGAGACGGGGTTTCACCATGTTGGCCAGGCCGGTCTTGAACTCCTGACCTCATGATCTGCCTGCCTCTCCCTCCCAAAGTACTAGAATTACAGGTGTGAGCCACTGCGCCTAGCCTAATTTTTGTAGAGACAGGGTTTTGCCATGTTGCTCAGACTGGTCTTGAACTGCTGGGCTCAAGCGATCCACCTGCCTCAACAGCTAACGTGCTGGTCTTACAGTATGACCCACCATGCCTGGCCTATTTGTCTTTTCATTATTGAGTTGTAAGAGTTCTCTATGTATTTGGGCTGAAGAATTTTGATACATGAAAACTGTTGGTTAGAACTGCCCTAGGATTACAGATGGATCTGGAGTTAGAATTTCACCTTTAAGGCTTAAGGCCCACCAGATGGCACTGTTTTAAAAGATAAAGGCGTTGAGACACCTTTGAAACTAGTACTTCCTCTTCTAGGTGCACTGTGGGAGTTGTGGTTCCTGAGGCCGGGATCTTTCTAAAGAGAAGGCCAGTTCTGCGTGATCTTACGAAGCTAGGCTGATTTTTTTCATCTTTAAAGACAGGGTTCCTATTGATGTCTACTAACCCTGTAGACATAACTCTTCTCACTGAGAACATGGGAGCTTCACGGGTTTCTGGTGCTCTCACAGTTTGTCTTATGTGACATTGTTGGGGAACATGGATCCCCCAATTGAATTGTCCAGATCGTATTCTTTTTTTTTTTTTTTTTTTTTTTTTTACACAGAGTCTCGCTTTGTTACCTTGGCTGGAGTCCAGTGGTGCAGTCTTGGCTCACTGCAACCTCTGCCTCCTGGGTTCAACTGATTTTCAGCCTCCTGAGTAGCTGGGATTACAGGAAGGCACCACCATGCCTGGCTAACTTTTTTTATTTCTTGTGGAGACAGGGTTTCATCACGTTGGCCAGGCTGCTCTCGAACTCCTGGCCTCAAGTGATCTGTTCCCCTCGGCCTACCAAAGTTCTGGGATTACAGGCATGAGCCACCATGCCCGGCTCCACATCATGTTCTTGTGTGCCTGTGTGGACCCTTTACTTGGCTCCCTTTGCTGTCTTTGCAGTGATCTACATGTCCCCCAGATGTGGCCCCATTGTCCTCTCTAGCATCTTAGAAAATCTTGCATTCTCCTTCTGACCATCTATCTAGTCCACAACTACTCTCTCAAAGCCCTGGTCTTTCTTGCAACCTGTTTCTTCTTCTGGAAACGACTACTTTTTCTTTTTTAATATATATGTATATATTTTATTGTACTTTAGCTTCTGGGGTACATGTGCAGCTCATGCAGCATTGTTGCATAGGTACATACATGGCAGTGTGGTTTGCTGCCTCCATCCTCCATCACCTATATCTGGCATTTCTCCCCATGTTATCCCTCCCCAACCTCCCTACCCTCTGCTCTGGAAAGTACTTCTACAGGCCCCCTCCGCCAAAAAAAAAAAAAAAAAGTATGTGTATATATATGAATCAGTCATAGACTTTGGTACCGCCTGCCTCATCTTCAAGTTGCATTTTTCATTCTGACTGCTTGAAGGTCTTCCTTAGGATGTGTTGCATCATTCCATGTCCCTACCCCATCACAGAAGTCACTTTATTGTTTGCCTGGTTTAGTGTCTGTATTCCTACTAGACCGTAAGTGGCTAGGGGGCAGAGATGATCTTTGTACACATCCCATCCCCAGGACTTATCATGTGTCCTGGAGCATGATCAGTACTCACTAAAGCTTATCCCAAGACATGTTTGCCTCTCCAAGTGTCAATGGGTCATTGAGGAGAGCCCCTGGCTAAAACACATCTGTGTGCACCTGCCTTCTAATCTGAGGCCTGGCAGCCCCTAGGCTCCTTTTGCCCTCTGCCATCTCATTTTCTACATGGTTTTCTTCTGCTTTGAGCAATTTTGGTGGCTTCTTCCCTGCCCTCCATCCATCCCACTCCCATCTAGTTTTTTCTTATTCAGTTACAGAAGTGAGCCTGGCCAACAAAACAGAAAAAAAGACTTCCCTTTTGGGAAACCTGGCTGTCCCAGGAGCTTTTGAAGGTTCAGCCCTGTGCTGGCAGTTTCTGCCCTGAGTCTGTTCCTCTGCCCCAGGTCTCTTGGGTCCGCTTCCCAGGCCAGGCCCAGTAGTATGCTAGAGTGCTCACTGGCACATTGTGCACTTCCTGCTGACATGGGAAGACCCTTTCCCCAGTGTTGAGTCAGAGTTTTCAGAGCCCTTCCCAACATCCTGCTTGGCCTGGCTTTTATACATGCTGCCCAGCCTGTGCATTGGAAAACACAAAGGCCATGGTCTACCTCACTCCAGACCCATGTCTAACCTGCCATTTGGATATGACCGGGATAGCATGTAGAGAAATTTAAAAGCACTAGGGTTCTGTAAACTTCCAATTTTAGTGTCAAATATATGAGATAATCAGTGTTGTGATTTCAGACGAAGGTGGTAAATCATGCCGTAGTAAGACAGCATCATCTTGGTGGACAGATCTGATCGCTTAAAAAAAACTTTAAACTCCATGTCTATTTTATTCACTGTTATATCCCAAGTGCCAATGACAGTGCCTGGCACATGATAGACACACAAATACGTTTGTGGGAAAACAATTGGGGCCTTAGTTTAGTAAGTGCAAATGTGGAATGCAATTTTGGGCCCTCTATCTTTAAGTATTAATGATAGTAAATGACATTTATAGAAAACTGACATGATGGGAAAACATAAAAAGAATTTGGAGTAAAACCAGTTGCCCGCTTCTCCATTACCGTTCCCTTTTCACACACACATACCAATTTCTTCAGAATTTTCATGGTCTATTTGAATTAATGAAATTTTAACTTAAGCTTTTTTTTTTTTTTTTTTTTTTTTTTTTTTTTTTTAAGAGACAGGACCCAGGCTGTTTGTTCTGTTGCCCAGGCTGGAGTGCAGTGGTACCATCACAGCTCACTGCAGCCTCAGCCTTCTGGGCTCAAGCAAGCCTCCTTCCTCAACCTCCCTAGTAGCTGGGACTACAGGCATGTGCCACCATGCCTGCTTAATTTTTTATTTTATTTTATTTTATTTTATTTTATTTTTTTGAGACGGAGTCTTGCTCTGTTGCCCAGGCTGGGGTGCAGCAGCACGATCTCAGCTCACTGCAGCCTCTGCCTCCTGGGTTCAAGCAATTCTGCCTCAGCACTCCCTACCAGTAGCTGGTAGTACAGGCAGGCGCCACCACACCAGGCTAATTTTTGTCTTTTTAGTAGAGACAGGGTTTTACCACGTTGGCCAGGCTGGTCTCGAACTCCTGACCTCAGGTGATCCACCCACCTCTGCCCCACAAAGTGCTGGGATTACAGGTGTGAGCCACTGTGCCCGGCCTTATTTTTGTATTTTTTGTAGAAACAGGTTCTCATTATGTTATCCAGGCTGGATCTTGAACTCTTGGCCTCAAGCAGCCTTCCCACCTTGGCCTCCCATAGTGCCAGGATTACAGGCATGAGCCACTATGAGCAGCCCTTTTTTTTTTTTTTTTTTTTTTTTTTTTTAAGCATTAAAAGCAAAAGATTTGTCTGGTCGTAGTGGTTCACACCTGTAATGCCAGCAATTTGGGAAGGCAAGGGCAGGAGCTAACTTGAGGTTAGGAGTTCGAGACCAGTCTGGCTGGCATGGCATTTTGCATTTACTAAAAATACAAAAATTAGCCAGGTGTGGTGGCGCACACCTGTAATCCCAGCTACTGGGGGGGAGCACTGAGGCAGGAGAATCACTTGAACCCGGGAGGCGGAGGTTTCAGTGAGCCGAGATTGCACCACTACACTCCAGCCTGGACCAGAGAGTGAGACGCCATCTTAAAAACAAACAAACAGGATTTAATCTTTTTTCCTTCACATGCTGCATCATTATCTCCAATAAATAACTTCAGTTGGGGTCTCCAAAGACTTTTAGAAATCAGGAACTCAGTGAACGCATGAACGAGTGAACAAACGAATGAATGAATGAATGAAAGTTTTGTGTTTGTCACAGATGTGAGAGACTGAGTTTTATAGCTTCCAAAATGTGACTTCTTTGTTACCAGTTAAGGGACTCGGCATAATTCCTTAGGAAGTGTTCTTGGTTGTTAATCCCTCCAGGGTAAAAGAGGGAGACTGTTTCATGTAAGATTTTATTCAAGTTATTTTCAAAAGAAAACAACACAGATTTTTCTCTTTCTTAAAGGAAATGTTTGGAGTTCCTGTTGGAAACACAAGCTAAGCTGGTTAATTAGGTTAATTAATTGAAGAGAGGGGATGGAAAATACCCTTGGGAGCTCTACATCCTGCCTGTGTGCCACACACGCACACCCTGCACATGCACACTGGCTTTCCATTCACTCCTTAGAGGCATCAGTCTTGCCTGAAATGGGTCTCTGGCTTTGTCCCATGCAGATACTGACTTTAGGTTTGAACTTGTGCCGGCATGGGATGCCCCTGGTGGTGGGGAGGGTGGGAGAACCTGTCAAGATGTTAAAGTAGGAGGGATTGGGAAGTCTGGCCACTTGCTCTGCAGCTCCATAATGTTCCTGATCAGACTTGTGCCTGAGCTGAGGGGTTGGCGGAGACATGACCAGCATGTCCTGTTCCTCCCTCCTCCCTGGAGATCGGATGCTCCCTTCCCCCAGCTTTAATCAGAAGCCGTTGATTATACCATGTTGAGTAAGGCAGACCTTGAACAGGGATGTGAAAATCAAACCAATCAATCAACATTGCAGTAATGATAGAAGCTGGTCCTGTCACTTCCTGAGTTGTCTTAACATTATTTTAAACTGCCTCTTTGAAAAATCTTTCTTACAGAAAGGAAGAGGTTTTATCAGAATGTCAGCATCACACAGGGTGAAGGTGAGTGTCTGAAATTTTGACTGCCTCTTTTTTTTTTTTTTTTGTGAATGGTTGGGAACATTTTTCATCTTCAGCTTGTTCCGTGGTGAGATTATCCTTCCTGCTTTTGTCAGATATATTTCTGTAAGGGACTCAGAGTTGGCTTTGTCTGCACCAATTCAAGTGGCTAAATATAGGAATGGTCACTTGATTCCGCTTAACAATCCCTGAGAGTTTTTCATTTGATCTTTCAAGGTGGCTTTGAGATAAACCTGGACCACAGGAAGCTGAAAACTCCCCAAGCCAAGCTCTTTACCGTGCCCAGCGAGGCCCTGGCCATCGCAGTGGCCACTGAATGGGATTCCCAGCAGGATACCATCAAGTACTACACCATGCACCTGGTAACAAGTTCATAGTGTGAACCTGCACCCCGAGACCCACCTAGGCCTTCCTAGGGTAGACCCCTTACCAAGTTCTGACAAGGCCCTGGGGGATGGTCCTTTGCCTGCTTGGGCCCCAGGTATTCACCTCCTCTTGAGTCACTAATGTGCTAAACTCTTTCCTTGTCTGGTCTGGCCACTTGCACTTCTGTCTCCTGGGAACACCATGCTGGATGGCGGGTTTCGCCTCTGGTTTCAGGACAGATGTCACCTTCACTGACTGCCCAATTCTCTTATTTTCTATGACAGCAGCTGGCCATTTGTTTTGTCAGCGCTTAGACAATTTATAATTGTTTTATGTTTGCACATTTATTGTCTGTCTTCTCCACTGTCTGGTAAGCAGCAGAAGGGCAGGAGCCGTGTCTGTTTTACTCACCAGTGTCCAGACAGCCACTAGGAGGAGGTATAGTTGGTACTCAGTAAATATTGGCTGAATATAGGATCCACTGGAGACAGATGAGTGAGGTGAGGAAGACTCCCTATAGAACCAGCCCTCTTGTCCACACCAAAGTGGCCTGCTGAGGCACCCAGGCTGCCTGGGGAAGGAAGGGTCCAGCCTCTGCAGCTTCTAAACTGTAACCTTGGGCATGTCAATGCCCCTTTCTCAGCCCCGTATCCCCCATCTATTAAAGATGAGTGATAATAGGACCCACCTCACGGAGCCATGGTCAGGATGAGATGAGATGCTGCATAGAAAGCCCTTGGCATGGTCCCTTGGCTGACTCCTATATTGACTGACTGGGCACTCAGTCAATATAGGAGTCAGCGGCTGTCATCCCATTCACTGTTGTGCTCAACCTTTGCAAGCCCAGGTGGGCCTCCTTCCAACATGACAGCCTGCTGAGGTGCTGGCCTGGTCCTTGACAGTCTAGTGAAATTAGGGTGATTAGGGCTACAAATGAATAGGTATCCTACGCAGCCTGTTATTGACAAGGTAAGTCTGGAAAAAATAGTCTTTTTTTGAGACAAAGTCTCACTCTGTTGCCAAGGCTGGAGTGCAATAGTGCAGTCTCGGCTCACTGCAACCTCTGCCTCTTGAGTTCAAGCGATTCTCCCATCTAGCTGGGATTAAAGCTACAGTAGCTGGGATTACAGGTGCCCACCACCACACCCAGCTAACTTTTGTACTTTTAGTAGAGACATGGTTTCCATGTTGGCCAGGCTGGTTTTGAACTCTTGACCTCAGGTGATCTGCCCACCTCGGCCTCCCAAAGTGCTGGGATTACAGGTGTGAGCCACCATGCCTGGCCAAAAAAATAATCTTGATTCCGATTTGAATGGTCTTTCCCTGCTTTCTAAGCTGTAAGGGGGCCAGCTGGTAAAGGTTTCTAGTCAGATTTGAGCTCCATCATTGATACGTGTCTTATTAACTGTATGTGATGATGCACTTAACCTGTCTGGGCCTCAGTTTTCACGGATGGGCATAATAATAGAAGCTATTCCAAAGGGTTGTTGTGAGGATTAATTTTTTTTTTGAGGCAGAGTCTTGCCCTGTCACTCAGGCTGGGGTGCAGTGGCAAGATCTTGGCTCACTGCAACCTCCACTTTCAGGTTCAAGCGATTCTCCTACATCAGTCTCCGGAGTAGCTGAGATTACAGGCACCCACCACCACCAACTAATTTTTTTTGCATTTTTAGTAAAGGTGAGGTTTCACTGTGTTGGTTGGGCTGGTCTCGAACTCCTGACCTTGTGATCCTCCTGTCTCGGCCTCCCAAAGTGCTGGGATTATAGGCATGAGCCACCGCGCCTGGCCGTGAGGATTAAATACACTAGAGCCTGGTAATAAAAGGCATGTGACCATGGGGAGGTTCACTAATCCTGGGGCTGCCGTAAGGTTCCCTTGAGTCCTGTGAACATCAACACAAAGCCTCTGGCGTGGAGCCTGGCTGTGACACCCTCTCAGTAGCTGTGCTCCTGCTTCAGTAGCACAGACGCCTCTGACGGGGCTGTGCTGTCGTGCTGTCTGCTATGTTTCAGATGTGGTGTCCTCAGGAAAGCAAGGCTTTTGCCTGACCCTGCAGGCAGTGACAGGGTGCTTTTTGCCTTTGATTCAGACCACATTGTGCAACACATCCTTGGACAACCCAACCCAGAGAAATAAGGATCAGCTGATCCGAGCAGCTGTGAAGTTTCTGGACACCGACACCATCTGGTAATGGACGTTTATATGGGTATTCCCTTTGGGTTGAGACAGTCCCTGGGGCTATTTTTCATGATTTGCCCAGATGGTTATTGGGGAAGAAGAAACCCTCTCCATTTATTGCAAGGACAGGGAAGGTAGCCCACTTGACTTTGGCACTTGGCTGCTCTACAGCCTCTTAGGAGGAGGACTCCTTGGGCTATGATGGTGTGAGAACATGGCCACCCCTCTTCTCTAGCCCAGAAGCTGCTCCTTAGGCTGCTCCTTAGGTTATACAGCTCTTGGAGGTGCCACGTCCACAGACCCCTTAGGCCTAGCCGGGGCCTCTGACCTTAAACTTCTGCCCACTGACACTTTCTCAGGTAGGCATACTTGACATTACAGATGCTGATATTTAGGAGTGTCCTTCCCAGTTCTGAATTCTCCTCTGTGTCTATGTTTCTTGGCTGATTGGTCAGTAATACTGAACGAAAGTTGAAGAAACAATGGAAATGATTGAGCAGCACTGTGCCTGCTAGCCCAAGTGCTCTAGGATCCTGAGTCATCTCTGATGACACAGAAAGTCGGCACCGGCAGCTGGAGGCATGCTCTTGAAGCGGGTGGCCCATAGCTAGTGAGAAAGCCTACTCCATTTATATTAGGGTTCACTTGATTGCGGGGAGCAGAAACCCATTTAACCTAACTCAGACAAAAAGGGGATTCTTGGAAACTATACAGGGATCCTGACAGGAAATAAAGGACAGTTGGGTCACCAGGAAAGGGAGCTGGAAGATCCAATGTCAGAGCTCCTCCCTGTGCCCTACTGGGATGATAGGAGCGTTGGTGAGGAAAGGCTGGCCACTCATCTGCCCCTCCCAGCATCCCAACTTTTCCTGTATAACTCATGACCTCTCTTCCCCACTTTGCTTACACAAGATGGTGGATTTCCATAGTGCCCACTTGGGTTCCCATCCCATGAGACCTTGCAGCTCAGCTCCTCTCAGCTGACTCATGTCTGTGTCTCTTGTTCAAACAAATGGCACAGGCTGGCCTCTAGAGTGGTTCTATCGGGTCTGGCATCTGTGCCAGCCACTGCATCTATAGCCAGGAGGTGGGTGGACTTATGAGGTGTAAACAGGATATTTGGTCTGTGGCCAGGGGCACACTCTCTTGGAGGGGGTGAAAGTAGGGATGCAAAGACTGAGCATCTGGCTCAGCATTCCCATTTGGCATCCTGGTCAAGCACCTGTGGACCTGGGGTTGCAGACTGATTGGATCTGCTTTAGAATGGCAGTAACATAGTGCAGCAAGTTTGGAGCTGTCAAATATTTGGGGTCATTTATGGTAGTGGTTCTCAAACTCAAGCTTACATTAGAATCCCCTAGAGGGCTTGTTAAAATAGATTGCTGGGCCCCACCTCCAAAGGGGCTGATTTCTATCAGGATGTGGCCTGAGAATGTGTATTTCTAACAAGTTCCCAGGTGATGCTGGTGCCAGGGCCACACTTTGAGAACCACTGCTTTAGAGGAAAAGACTTGTGGGGCTGGGATGGTGGTGGTGATGTTTTTGCTGTTGTCCTTTGTGTTTTTCCTTTTCTATCACTGAATAAAGGAATTGTACTTTTTTATTAATGAAGGCGATTTTTACAATGAATTAGCTACAGGGTGGAGGAGCCAGAGACATTAGTGGAACTTCAAAGGAATGAGTGGGATCCAATCATAGAATGGGCTGAGAAAAGGTAAGATGTGCAGCCCTGCAGAAAACACTGACTGGGCACCTGTGTTGGTGGATTGTTGGGGTCAGGGGCCACGCTGGAAAACTAATGCCCTTAGCTAGTCAGCTTTTTTATTTCAGAGTACTCGTGGGATTCGGCTCCCCTCATGATCAGGGATAGGGTCTTCTTGGGGAAAAAAGCACCTCAAACTCATTTCAGCACACCTGCTACAGCAGTGCATGAAGGTAGGAGGCAGCTCTGTGTCCTCGGAAAAGCACTGGAGTCTCCAGGTCACCTGCTGCCATCGGGTCAGAGCAGCAATGTCAGTATAAATCCCACCTCTGCTAGAGACTCAGCTGTGTGACTTTTGGCTAATGAGTTGATCTCTCTGAGTTTCAATTTCCTTGTATATAAATGGGGCTGATAATCCCTATGTCCCTACCTCTCAGGGTTTGAGGAGGAGTAAATGAATTGATGTATATAAAGGCTTAGCATCCTGCTTAGCACACAGTAAATGTTCAAATTTTGGCAGTGATTTTCATCTTCATCACAATTGCTGTACTATGAAATAAAATAACAGAACAACATGTATGATATGTATGCACTTGGAGAAAAGTATGGATAGCTTCCTGCAAAATTACAGGTAACATGCAGTAGATATGTAGCTTCCAGGAATTGATACAAAGTATTTTTCCTTAATAGGAAGATTCTTTTGAGTGCAAAGTTGAATGTTTTATTTATTGATGTGGTGGCAAAAGAAATTCGATTTCATTTGATCGCAAGGGAAATTTGGAAGGGCTGGCTTTCATGGTACCACCTTGACCATGGTATTTTCTAAGCTTGCAAGGCACTTTCTTGGTATAGCATTTTTCACGAAAGTGATGTTACCAATCTGTTCACTGATATGCTACATGCTGCCTGATGCTCACAACGTGGCAGGTTTCCTTAAAGGAGGTCTTAAAGGAGAAGGCAAAGCCAGTGCTCTAAAGACCAGACTACAGTTCTGTGTGGGAATGTGACAATACAATGTCATTTCAGAATCTAATGAAATATAACAATAATTTAGGTGCTTAGAGAGCTTTGCTGTAGTATAAAATCTTCAGATTCTTGTGGCAGGAAATATTCTATCCTTAAGAGTTTACAGAAAAACTTAAGCCATTTCCTACAGTCCATTTGCACTATGAGGAATTTTAGCAAGAATTTTTTCTTTCTTTCTTGAGATGGAGTCTTGTTCTGTCACCCAAGCTGGAGTGCAGTGGTGCAATCTTGGTTCACTGCAACCTCTACCTCCTGGGTTCAATCGATGCTCGTGCCTCGGACTCCCAAGTGCCTGGGATTATAGGTGCTTACCACGCCTGGCTGATTTTTGTGTTTTTAGTATAGCTGGGGGTTTCAGCATGTTGGCCAGGCTGGTCTCGAACTCCTGACCCCAAGTGATTGCCTGCCTCAGTCCCCCAAAGTGCTGGGATTATAGGTGTGAGCCACTGCACCCAGCTGTGTTTTTTTAAGTGACAGAAAAAAATCAGTGATATATGGAAGAAAATTACAAAAATTATTTTTATCCCCCATTGTGTTTTTCTTCCGTTTTACTTAGTTATGGTTATTCTTGAAAATGTAAGGCCAGGCGCGGTGGCTCAAGCCTGTAATCCCAGCACTTTGGGAGGCCGAGGTGGGTGGATCACGAGGTCAAGAGATCGAGACCATCCTGGTCAACATGGTGAAACCCCGTCTCTACTAAAACTACAAAAAATTAGCTGGGCATGGTGGCGTGTGCCTGTAATCCCAGCTACTCAGGAGGCTGAGGCAGGAGAATTGCCTGAACCCAGGAGGCAGAGGTTGCGGTGAGCCGAGATCGCGCCATTGCACTCCAGCCTGGGTAACGTGAGCGAAACTCCGTCTCAAAAAAAAAAAGAAAATGTATCTGCTCTTGAAACCAGCACATGTCCCATAAACCACAGACCAAAAACAATGCCTTGATAAATGTTTGAAAAAATAGATCAGGCATAGTGGCTCACACCTGTAATCCCAGCACTTTGGGAGGTCTAGACGGGCGAATCACTTGAGGTCAGGAGTTCGAGACCAGCCTGGTCAACGAGGTGAAACCTCATCTGTACTAAAAATACAAAAATTGGCCAAGTGTGATGGTGAACACTTGTAATCCCAGCTACTCAGGAGGCAGAGGCAGGAGAATGGCTTAAACCTGGGAGGCAGAGGTTGCAGTGAGCTGAGATCACACCACTGCACTCCAGCCTGGGCGAGAGAGCAAGAAAGACTCCATCTCAAAAAAAAAAAAAAGGAAAAAAAATGTTTGAAAAAATAGGTGCTGATTTGTTTCCGTGGCTCATGCCTATAATCGCAACGCTTTGGGAGGCCGAAGTGGCCAGATCACTTGAGTCCAGGCATTTGAGACTACCTCAAGCAACATGGTGTAACTCCAGCTCTCCAAAAACAATTAGCTAGGTGTGGTGGCACACGGCTGTAGTCCCAGCTACTTGGGGGACTGAGGTGGGAGGATTGCTTGAGCCTGGGAGGTTGAGGCTGCAGTGAGCCAAGATTGTGCCAATGCACTCCAGCCTGGGTGACAGAGCGAGACTCTGTTTCAGTAAAAAAGAAAATAACCTCCATGATATATGACATACATAAACATTATTTTAAGGAAAACCATTTTAAATACAGTTTTTAACTTTTATATGGCCTCAAATGTGAAAATCTTTTTAAAGAGATGTAAAAGGCAGATAGCCTTTTGATGGAGATTCCAGGTGAATGAATGAGCACTTCAGGCAACTAGCTGAGCACTAGCTCACATGACTCAGGAACCATCCCTTCATTCAGCACAGTTTCTTGGACCTCTGAGTTTGCTCTTGAGGGACAGAAAATTGGGTTGGGAGGGCACTGACAATGGTGGCAGTTGCTCCTGGAGTCCTCAAGACTAGCCAATGTATACACGCTTAGAAGCTTAGGCCTTTGTTTCTAGTTAAAAGGTGGGCTGCTTTTGGGCTACAGCATGACAGGGACAAACTGAAGCCCTTTTCCTTTCAGATATGGCGTGGAGATCAACTCCTCCACCAGCATAATGGGACCCAGCATCCCCGCCAAGACTCGGGAGGTGCTTGTCAGCCACCTGGCGTCTTACAACACGTGGGCTCTGCAAGGTATGTGTGGAGTTTCCTGTGGGCGTGGCAGGTGGCTGTGAAAGCCATCAGTGTCTGAAGCCTATACTTGCCCCTCCCCAGGTGCTGTGAGTGGGGAGGCACCAGAGGGCTCCGGGCTAGCTGAGTGTGGAGGCTGGCTGGCTCTGATGCCAGCCTGTCACTCGCCACTGTAGGCTCACACCTTTTCACCGTTGACTTCTGCAGCTGAAGTCTTGAGTTCAGTCTCATTGCTCTGGCTTGGGTCACATGTCCATCCAATCACTAGACGGTGGGGCAAGCTCTGATTTGCCAAGTTTGGGTCATGCGTCCCACTGGGTAAGAGCAGAGGAGGATCACCCCCAGGGAAAACCAGAGTGCTCTTTCAGAAGAGTGGCCCAATTGCCAGATAGCTCTTTCCACCACTCACTCCTGTTCTCTGCCAGGGCTACTGGGACTCACAAGGGGTAAGTTGTGGCAGCTGCCCTGTTTTGGGTCCTGACTTGGCTTGTGTCCCTGCAGGCATTGAGTTTGTGGCTGCCCAGCTCAAGTCCATTGTGCTGACCTTGGGCCTGATTGACCTGCGCCTGACGGTGGAGCAGGCCGTGCTGCTGTCACGCCTGGAGGAGGAGTATCAGGTGAGGAGCAGTACCTCAGGTTCTGTCTCCCCCTTCCTAGTTCAGACTCACTCTGAGGGAGCGGCTAACCCATATGAAGTACTGTTATGTATACCTGGCTTTTATTGCTTTTGTGTACGTGCATAAATCAAAATCAAAGACCAGCAAAAGTATTATCAAGTAGACCTGGTGTGGTGGTTCACCCCTGTAAACCCAACACTTTAGGAGGCTGAGGTGGGTGGATCATTTGAGGTCAGGAGTTCGAGACCAGCCTGGGCAATATGGCAAAACCTCATCTCTACAAAAAAACACAAAAATTAGTGCCTGTAGTGCCAGCTATTTGGGAGACTGAGGTGGGAGGATTGCTTGAACCTGGGAGGTGGAGGTTGCAGTGAGCCAAGATTGTGCCACTGCATTCCAGTCTGGGTGACAGAGTGAGACTCTGTCTCAAAAAAAAAAGTATTGTAAAGTAATAACAATAAAAAGATAACATAAGTGCCACTGCTGTGTTCCTGCACGTACCCATCTCACCTCCTCTCAGCAGCCTGGTCAGGTAGGAGCTGTGGTTATCTCTGTTTTACACAGGAGGAAACTGAGATGCAAGGTTGCACCTCTGGAAAATGTGCCAGCTGGGGTTTGAAGCCAGGTCTGGTGATTCTAGGGCCAAAGCTGTCAGGCCCCACTCTGCACATGGAGGTTCATGGGTGGATAAAAGACCACCTGGGCTTGATAAAGCCTGCAGAACAGCCCTGCCAAGATGACTGAGCACCTGTTTGTGCTCTTACATCAGCTGAGCTTTCATACCCTGAAATTTTATCTGGCTGGCAGAGGAGTATGGGATAGCTGCTGTTTGTATACAAGTTTGGATTTAGTGGGCTCAGAATTAAGGTTTTGCTACAGTATGGTTTGCATTTTTTAACTGAAAATTATGGCCATCTTTGCAGTCTTTTTGTTATGATGCCTCCAACTTCAGAAGGTTAATTGCTATTATGAATTGGTCCCTAGTATGGTTAAAAAAAAAAAAAAAAAAAAAAAGCTTTTTATAATGTATTTCCCAAGTTCGTGTAGTTTTCTGCTCAGAAAAATGCCAGAGGAAAACCTTTTTGTATAACAAAGGAGGCCCACTACTATTCTCTGATGTCAGAACTGATTACATAGGAAGGGAGTGACTTGTAGGGCTGGTGGGAAGCCAGTCTAGGCTTTGCTTCTGACTATAGGACCCAAGCCAGGCCATCATTCTCTCAACTTGGGTTTCAATCCTCTACAAACAGAGGAATAACCTGAATTATGTATGTGATGGTATACAATGAAAGTATGGGATGCTCTTCAGATAACATATTACAATTGCACAGATTGGGACTGGGCAGCCCAGAAGTTCAAATAGCTTGTGTAGCATGGCAGATTCTGAGTTCCTGGATGAGCTGGGGTGGCCAGGCCAGGCTTCTTAGGCCCCTAGCCAGGGAGGAGCCAGCGGGGTCTGGTTGGAGTTACACTGTCTGGACAGCCACATTGTGTGTCTGAGGGTTCTTCCCTCTTGTTTTTAGAGCTCCAGACAGAATGTGCAATCCCCAGTGTGCAGAGCAGAGACATCTGTAGTTCTGTGACTACCTCAGGAGTCAGAGCTGAAGCCACTGTGTGGTCTTGCTTGATTTAGTTATTCCACCCACATGGGGCTGCACTCGCAGCCCAGCATGCCAATGCAGCTTGCAGAGGCTGTCAGTTCACAGGCTTCCCGGGAGGAAATGTAGGAGAAGGAATAGCACACAGGTCAGGTCTCCTCAAATAAGTCATATTGTGGTTCGGGTACCCAGCCTGCCCAGTGGTGGGGGCCTGGGCCTGGATTGCACTTCTTCCAGACCATCCATGCCACAGAGAGCACAGGTGTCTGCTCTGGATCCCTAGGTGGGCGGGGGTGTGTGTGCGGTTTTTGAGACAGGGTCTTGCTCTGTTGCCCACGTTGGAGTACAGCCGGCTCACTGCTGCCTCAACCTCCCGGGCTCAAAGCAGTCCTCTCACCTCAGGCTCTTAAGTAGCTGGGACTACAGGTATGTCCCCACCCCCCGCCACACTACCCAGCTAATTTTAAAAACTTTGTAGAGATAAGGTTTCACCATATTTGTCCAGGCTGGTCTTGAACTCCTGGGTTCAAGCTGTGTTCCTGCCTCGGCCTCCCAAAGTGCTGGGATTATAGGCGTGAGCCACCGTGCCTGGTCCACCTGGGTGTTCTTACCTGCCGCCTCCCCCTAGGCATGTCTCACGTTTCGGCAGGATCCAAACCTGTTGCCCTTGGCTGAGCTATTGAATGGAATGTGGCTTTGGCCAGGAGGCAGCCAGGCACTGGCCACTCACACAGCAACTCGTCTTGTCCTTCCCTCAGATCCAGAAGTGGGGCAATATTGAGTGGGCCCATGACTACGAGCTGCAGGAGCTGCGAGCCCGCACCGCTGCCGGCACCCTCTTCATCCACCTCTGCTCTGAGAGCAGCACAGTCAAGCACAAGCTCCTGAAGGAGTGAGGCCTGGGCAGCGCACACCCAGCATGATGGTGGCAGTACAGCCACAGCTACCCTGGCCTTTGGGGTTCCCCAGCCTGTGGGGCTGACTCCCTTGGCCTTTGGGGCTCAGCCTCAGAGTCACCCTGAGATTCCCCCAAGACACAGTGCGCTAGTGCAGCTGTCCAGAGGTCAGCCTGATTTCCACCCAGGTGCCCCTGGTTTGGCCAGCAGTGAACGTGGGAGACAAATTGTACAAGTGACTTTCTCTCAACACTGATTTTATTAAATATTTCTCCACCCTGGAAATGTGCTGAGCCCTGTTTTCACATGTGCCTCGGCACTTCTCCATTCTTCCTGTTTTGTCCAGGTTTCATAAGGTTGAATAGCTTCTTTCCCACGGCGTGTTTGGGTATCTGCTGCCTGTGGCCGGGAACCTCGCACTGGGGAAACAGTCATGTCATCCGCAGGCAGCTCTGTTTATATTCTTCAGCCTCAGCTTGAAGGCTTTTTTTGGCTGGTTTTTAATCAAACGGTCTTTTGAAATGATCTTGGTCTAAGCTGGTTGTTTCTATTTTTCCTACTGTTCTAAAACAGATGATTTACTCGAGAAAGTAGAAAATAGAAATTGTTCCTGGGCTAAAAGTCTGGACGGTCTTGGCGAGGTCACCTGATGTCCATGTTTTCACTCATCACCCACCCAGGAGTCCTAAGGGTCCTCCCGACACAGCCACCTCTAGTGTCCCAGGAGGCAGCTGCTGCTTTCTGGTGACGGGCCAGTGAGAGGGCAGTGGGGAGACTGTGGTTCTCAGGCAGACAGGCTCTCTCAGCCCTGTGTCTTTGCCAGGCTGAGTAAGGAAATGGCATCAACACTGCTCACAGGGCACTGATCACATGCTGGGTGCCTCTCTACCCTTCCCATGCACTGTCTCCCTGAACCGTTCCTCGACTGCACTCTGAGATACTGTCACTCTAAGGTACTGTCACACCAGGGCTGCGGAGGTGATGTAGTGGAGCAGAGATGCCCCGCCTGTGCTCTGCTCTTCTGGAGGGTTCTCAGGTCCCTATGGCTATCCTGAGCCTTGGTGGGCAGGCCCAGGCCCTAGCACCCTGGTGGGAGCTGCAGCCTCTCCTGCTTCTCCGCCCCTCAGCACCCAGAGGAGAGAAGGTCTCAGCCCACCCCAGCCTCTTCTTGCCTGTTGGTAGCAGCCTGCCTGGGCATGGCAGGGGAAACAGCAGGGGCACGTGTCTGACTTTATGCTACAGCCAAGAGTCTAGCCAACGGCAGCGCCGTTGGGACCAGCTGTTTTTCTCAAATTCTTTCCTCCTGTTCATACGTGAACATGAATTCTAATTTTTTTTTTTGAGATGGAGTCTCCTCTCTTACCCAGGCTGGAGTACAGTAGCTGCCTCGGCTCACTGCAACCTCTGCCTCCCGGGTTCAAGAGATTCTCTTGCCTTGGCCTCCTGAGTAGCTGGGATTACAGGTGCATACTACTATATCTGGCTAATTTTCGTATTTTTAGTAGACATGGGGTTTCACCATGTTGGTCAGGCTGGTCTTGAACTCTTGACCTCATGATCTGCCCACCTCAGCCTCCCAAAGTGTTGGGATTACAGGCGTGAGTCACTATACCCAGCCAGTTTTTTTTTTAAACTAATAGGGGAAATGTGACGTGAATCCTTTATTTTCTCTACATTTGGAAGGTCTTCCGGGGTGGGGGAAGAATGGTGTTGGGGAGCGTGGTTGAGAGATGCCCAGCAACTCTCCTGATGAGCGTGGTGAGGCATGTGCACTTCCTTCTCCCAGTTGGGGCTGGTGCTTTGTTTTGAAGAAGCCCCTGTGACTGACACTCATCTAGTCTAGGATGTCGCTGTATTCCAGGTTGTCCAGTTCACTCTTCATGTGGTCGATGTACAGATTGATCTCCTTCACGCGCTTGCGGTTCCTCATGATCTCATCCCTGTGAATCTGAGGAATGAAACCAAAACCAAAGCCTGATTCCTTACAGCAGATCATTGGTTAATATCTTTTTTTTTTTTTTTTTTTTTTGAGATAGAGTCTTGCTCTGTCACCCAGTCTGGAGTGCAGTGGTAAGATCTTGGCTCATTGCAACCTCTGTCTCCCGATTCAAGCAGTTCTCCTGCCTCAGCCTCCTGAGTACCTGAGATTACAGGTGCATGCCACCATGCCCAGCTAATTTTTTGTATTTTAGTAGAGACAGGATTTTACCATGTTGCCCAGGCTGGTCTCAAACTCCTGAGCTCAGGCAATCCACCCGCCTCGGCCTCCCAAAGTGCTAGGATTACTGGCGTGAACCACCGTGCCCAGCCTCACTGGTTAATATTTTTCACTGAGTTCAGTTTGAGGGAAGGGAAAACAGTTCCTTGAGATCTGCAAGCCTCCTCATTTGCTTCAGAGCCTCCCCAGGTTCTGCTGATCTCTATATTTGAAGTAGGAGTTAGAAAAATGATGAAGCCCATGGGTGTTAAAGTCTCTGGGCAATGTTGTCTTCATTGTGGAGTTCTACAATCCTTAATTTTCTTTCTTTCTTCATTTCATTCCTTAATGAAAATTCTAACCACCACCTAGGGAGGACTTCCATGTCAGCCTAAAAAATTTTTCCAACCTGCTAGGATGGCTTGGCATTGACTCACCTTGTCTACTAAACGTGTACACCAGGAATTGATTCTGGTCACTAGCTCATCTTCTCGATTGTCAATCTTCAGGAGGTGGATGTCGTGCGATGCCCCGACAGCATTAACAGTCGTATCCTTATCAACAAAAAGCTGGTGAGTGAAAAGAAACCAATGAGATTGTGTGTGTCATTACACCCCGAACACTAAGACAGCTGAATAGCAAAGGAGCATCTGGAAGTTACCTGGCTGTGCAGGCCACGCTCAGAGCAAAGCCCACCTTGGTATCAGCGGACTCTGCCGATTCATCTGTGACAGCCGCCTCCCCAGCGCAGGGCAGGTGTTGTGGGGAAAGAGTCAACCAGGGTGTTACTTTGCAGTCGCTGCTGGAAGCATGTTTCCTTCAGGGTGAAGGCAGGTGGCTGCCCGGGGGGGTACCTCACCCAGGACATCTGTTCTCACAGTGCTTCTCGCTCAGTTACTCTCAAGCCTGACTTACCCAAAACCTCTGCCTGCTGGGTGAAAGGAAGCATGAGGCTGGCTGAGGGTCTCAAGGCTGCTCTGAGGACAGCAGACCCTACAAACCGATGGATGTTCACCCCACAGTTGTCCCTCCACTGCCACTCATGTCAGCAAAACCAAACCTTGGATTCCATTTGGGTTCTCCTTCTGCCTTCTCTTGTTCCTGATTCTGCTGTCGTAAAAAGTTGTTAGAAGTAACCACCCTCTAATAGGCCTCACTGGTTCTAGGTGTTGACACTATGGCTGTTGTCGCTTGGGGTGGTTGAAATGGAGTCGTTTCCTAGAGCAGGGCAAGGCCACTGAAGCACTCAGTAAGCAGTTGCTTCCACCTTGAAGCAGAGGCGCTTGGTAAGGCAGAGCACCTGAATGCTCTATATTGCAGGGAGGGCTTGCAAGTGGAGTATATACTTTTTGTTCTTTCCTATAGTGGCAGTTAATGGTCTCTAAAACATGTTCTGTAGAATCTTAAGATGTTAATATTTCTGCCAAAAAAAAAAAGTATTCTTCTTTGGTCAAATACATTTGGGAAAGCCAGCACACCCTAGGCCCCTGCTGAAAATTTGCAGGGTACAAAGTATTCCGAAGGCTCTACAAAGTCCTGTTCTTCTTTTTACTTCTAGGAGATAAACTTTTTTAGCTTTGGCATATGAGTGAGAACATGATGTGTTTTAACTTTCTGTTCCTGGCTTATTTCACGTAACATAATGTCCCCCAGTTCCATCCATGTTGGCTGAATAGTATTCCATTGTGTATATGTGCCACATTTTCTTTATCCAGTCATCTGTTGTTGGGACACCTAGGTTGATTCTGTATCTTGCTATTGCTAACAGTGCTGCAGTAAACATGGGTGCAGATATCTTTTCAATATAGTGATTTCCGTTCCTTTGGATAAATGCTCAGTAGTGAGATTACTGGATCATATGGTTCTGTTTGTAGTTTTTGAGGACCCTCCAGAGTATTCTCCCTAGTGGCTGTCCTAGTTTACATTCTTACTAACAGTATAAGAGAGTTCTGTTTTCCTTGTATCCTCACCAGCATTTATTTTCTTTTTTTTTTTTGTCTTTTTGATAATCATTATCCTAAGTGGGGTGAGATGATGCCTCATTCTGGTTTTTATTTGCATTTCCCTGATAACTAGTGATGCTGAAAGTTTTACATGTATTTGTTAGCCATTTGTATGTCTTCTTTTGAAAAACATCTGTTCAGATGTTTTAAATTGAATTGTTTGTTTTTTTGCTGTTGAGATGTTAGAGTTCCTTGTATATTCTAGATATTAATACCCTAACAGATAAGTAATTGCAAATATTTTCTCCTGTTGGGTAGGGTGTCTTTTCACTCTGTTGATTGTTTCATTTGCTGTGCAGAAGACTTATAGTTTGATATATTCCCATTTATTTCTTTTTGCTTTTGAGGTCTTATTCATAATTTTTTTCCCAGAGCAATGTCCTAAAGCATTTCTCCTGTTCTGGTCATTTTATAGTTTCAGGTCTTTTGTTTTGTTTTGTTTTGTTTTTTTCTGAGACAAGGTCAGGTTCTATCGCTCAGGCCGGAGTGAAGTGGTGCAATTTCAGCTCACTATAACCTCTACTTCCTGGGCTCAAGCCATCCTCCCACCTCAGCGTCCTCAAAAGCTAAGACTACAGGCACACACCACCATGCCCAATTAATTTTTGTGTTTTTTTTTAACAGAGGTGGCACTTTGCCATGTGGCCCAGGCTGGTCTCAAACTCATGAGGTCAAGCAATCTGCCTATCTCGGCCTCCCAAAGTGCTGGGATTACTACGCTCTACCAGTTTCAGGTCTAACATGTAGGTCTTTGATCCATTTTTAGTTGATTTTTGTATAGGGTGAGAGGTGGGGATCTAGTTTCATTCTTCTGCATATGGATACACAATTTTCCCAGCACAATTTATTGAAGAGACTGCTTTTTCCCCAGTGAATGTTCTTGTCACTTTTGTCAAAAATCAGTTGGCTGTAAATACACAGATTAATTTCTGAGTTCTCTATTCTGTTTCATTGGTTTATGTATCTGTTTAAAAAAAGAACAGGCTTAATTCACTTTATTTTTCTTGTATAAAAACTCTGTGTTACTTTGGGAAGCCAAGGCAGGCGAATTACCTGAGGTCAGGAGTTTGAGACCAACCTGGCCAACACTGGTGAAACCCCGTCTCTACTAAACCAGGTATGGTGGCATCTGCCTGTAGTCCCAGCTACTTGGCAGGCTGAGGCAGGAGAATCATGAGAACCTGGGTGGCAGAGGTTGCAGTGAGCCAAGATCACACCACTGCACTCCAGCCTGGGAAACAGAGCGAGGCTCCATCTCAAAAACAAAAACAAAAAACCCTGTGTTGTAGCCACAGCTGGAGCCTGGGTCCTCTGCAGAGACTCTGGTGTGGGTCTCGACAAGATGGTCAGTGAATTCCTGATAGGAAGACTTGGTGACCTCCCAGAGGTCAGGGGTCAGGCAGCTATGGGTCTCGGAGATGGCATCAAAGGTGGCCTTGGCAAAGTTGCCCAGAGTGGCAGTGCAGCCTCTGCTGTGGTGTAGCAGTTGTCAGTACTGGCCATCCGCAGCATCTTCTTGGGGACAGAGGCCAAGAGGATGCCAGTGCCCCTGAGTGCAGGGATATGTTGCAGCAGCAGGGAGCTGCAGCAGCTTGTCATCTTGCAAGGGATAGTGTGGGGCTGGCGATCTTGGTCCTCCAGTAGCCTCTCTGCATGGGGACAATGGAGAGCTTGGCTAGGATGATGGCCCCTCTGATGGCAGTGGCTGCTTCCCTGGAGCACTTAACACCCAGACTGATGTGGCCACTGTAGTCCCTGCTGGCAACAAACACCTTGAACCTCTATGCTGGCTGGGGCTGCCTCTGCACTGGCATAATCTTTAAAAGCTCATCCTTGAGTGAGGCCCCCAGGAAAAAGTCAATAATCTCAGACTACTTGATGGGCAGGGATAAGAGATAGCTCACCTCCAGAGACTTGATCTTCATGTCCTTGACAAGGCAGCCCAGCATGGTGACAGGCATCCACTCCTTGGCCTTGCCTCTGAAAGCTCCATAGCCTTGGCCCCTGCCCCAACTATGGCCACAATTCTAGCCCCAGATGCTGCTGACAAAGCTTCCATGGTTTCCCTTTCCAGGCCCCTGGGTCTTCCTGCTGCACTGGTGTCATCTACCATTTGGTGTTTTCTCAGAGAAGTATGTGTCTGTTTTATGCCAGTACCATGCTGTTTGGTTACCACAGCTTTGTAGTATATTTTGAAGTCTGGTAATGTGATGCCTCCAGCTTTGTTCTTTTTGCTCAGGAAGGCCTTGGCTATGCAGGGTCTTTTATGGTTCCAAATTTTAGGATTTTTTTTTTTTTCTACAAAGAATGTCATTGGTGTTTTGATGGAGATTGCACTGAATCTTTAGATTGCTTTGGGTAGCAACAAAGTGACTTTGAGTCAGGAACAGCTAGTGCCCCTCCCCAGGACCACCACGCTGCTAGTGGCTTGAGGACTTGCTGCCCCATGGCACATGGGATCAGATCATTCTGTCACACCAAGGAAGGGCACCTGATGACCCTGCAGTCCCCTCTGCCACAAACAAAGGAGCAATTTGGCTTGATGGGGCAGGGACAAGCCAACACAGAGTCTCCTGGTGCCAGCTGGAATCCTGTGGCAGTCCCATATCCAGAGACTGCTGACTTGGGTCAGACCCACTGCCACTTGAGCAGAACCTGGGGACCTGCATCCTCCCGTGGCCTGGGCCTGAGCACTCGCCCTGCCCTCGCAACTGGACGTCCACATGGATTTTCAGAGCAGCCAGGCAGCACCTCTGACCTCCCCACCTCCCTAAATGGGCAGCTGTGGTTGCCAGCACCACTCAGACGCCCTCCCTCAGTGCCGGCTCCAGGCTGTCTCCTCAACATGTATGTTCTGCTTTTCCTCTCAAAGCTGGAAGGACTTTAGGTGTGGGACAGATTGGCCCCATGTAGGTCATGAGCTGATAACAGTCACTCAACTGCACGAGCGGAGTTTTATAGATAACCTACCTCATCAGGGTGACTTATCAAGATATGCTCATTGATAATTAGGTAACCGAAGCCAAATTTTTTCACCCACAGCCCTAGTCCCTCCTCTGAACATCCCCATCTTGCTATAGGCTTAGTAGACATTTTGTCAAAGGCTTTCAATCAAACTGCCTGGGTTCAAATCACAATTCTATCACTTATAAGCTGTGTGTCCTTATGTTACCTTCATCTCTGTGCCTCAGTTTCCTCATCTGTAAAAGGGGAACCAGAATAGTACCTACTTTACCAGGCTGATGTGAAGATTAAAAGAGCAAACATGAGTTCAGTGCTTCTCAGAGGGCTGGCCCTCAAGAGGTCCCCAGTCAATGTCAGTGATGTATTTTTTTTTTTTTTTTTTTTTGAGACAGGGTTTTGCTCTGTCAACCAGGCTGGAGTACAGTGGCATGATCATGGCCCACCTTGACCTCTTAGGCTCAAGTAATCCTCCCACCTCAGTCTCCAAGTAGCTGGGACCAACAGACGTGCATCACCATGCCTGGCTAATTTTTTAATTAGCATTTGTAGAGATGGGAGTCTCGCTATGTTGCCCAAGCTGGCCTCAAATTCCAGGGCTCAAGTAA